CAACCATACCAATTTTATCAAATTTCGATAATAACTCGACCTCTAAACCTTAAATTTTCGTTCTTGAAAAGTTTTGCAAAAACCTTGATTTCTTCCAATTAAATACGAAATAAATGATGAATATAACCATAGATTTATGAAATATAATCACTTTAGGATATAGAATACTTACCCAAGTCGAAGTCGTGAAGAGCTCCTCAAAAATCGCCCAAACTCTGAGCTCCAAAATCCCAATTGAAAATGGCAAAATGACCAATTTTTGGTCCTAAATGTTCTGTCCAGTTCCACTTCTGCGGAACAATTGGTCACATCTGCCCAGCCCAAGCTTGCACCTGGGGACAGAATGCCACATCTGCACAAATCGCTTCTGCAATGGCCGGTGCGCATCTGCGAGAAGCTTCGCTTCTGCAATCCTGAGTGTCGCTTTTGCGATGCCTGTCCAGCCCTGCCCAATTTCGCTTCTGCGAGGAGCTGCCTCGCTTATGCGCGGTTGCTTCTCCGATGAAGTTGCCGTAGAAGCGAATGCACCAGCTGCTGTCCAGAACAACAGAAATTCCAGCAGCTCCTATTGTCCGAAATCCAATCCGTTAACCTTCTGAAATCCATCCGAGGCCCTCGGGATCTTAACCAAATATACCAACACGTCCCAAAATACAATACGAACTTAGTTGAGGCCTCAAATCACATCAAACAATGCCAAATTTATGAATCGCATCTCGAATCGAATTATGAGTTTTTTTTCAAATCTTCCAACTTCAATAATTTGCGCCGAAACGTATCAAATCAATCCGGAATGACTTCAAATTTTGCACACGAGCCATAAATGTCATAATGGAGATTTTCTAACTTCCAGAATCGAAATCCGACATCATTATCAACCAATCGACTTACGGTCGAATTTATGAATATTTCAAGAACATTTTCAAAATTTGCGCCGAAATGTGCCAAATTGTCCTACGGACTTATAAATCCAAATTCGGACATACGCCTAAGTCCGAAATCATAATACGAAGCTATTGAAATCATCAAAACTCCATTACGGAGTCGTTTGCTCAAAAGTCAAACTCCGGTCAACTCTTTTCATTAAGCTTCAAAAATAAGTATTATTCTTTCAATTTAATTTCCAATCTTCCGAAAACCAAACTCCATTCCGTAAATTCAGCTTAGGTATGAATGTGTTAAATAATTAGTAATGTTATATTTTAGACATGTGAAGTTCTATCGGTATGAGTATGGGTGGAAATAGTTATTTTAAAATTAAGACGGAGAGTGAGGTGTATAAGATTTAATATAATCGACTAAGTTTAAAAACATTTTGTCTTGCAGCAGGATTTTGTGAAAATGCGTAAGGAATTTGTGAAAACTCAAAACACGAAAGTTGTATCCCTTTGAAATAGATTTCCAACGATATATTGTGGATCCCTAACAGATCTTTGTGCAAAGGTTTATGTATATTTTACTGATCAATGCACAGTATGCTCGCCAAATGCGCGCCTGAATGGTCCCGTGCACAGCCGCGCACTTGTGGCAGTGCTACTGCATTTCTGCACGTTAGGTGCACGATTGGGCCTTCAGGTGCGCGGGAGCGCACCCGGGGGTCATTTTTAAATCCCTACTTCGTCCCCCACACCCCAAAATACTAAAACTTGCTCTAGAAAGGGAAACTCTCAAGAACCTAACTCCTCAAACGTCCCTCTACCATCCAAGGTAAGTTCTAATGGTAATTCTAAGTTAATTTCAATTTTCCAGCACCTTATTAACATGGGTAAACCCTCTAAATCATTAGATATTCGATTGGGACATCATGATTGAGAAAAGAAATCCTAGAACTCGAATTCAAGAGGATCGAACTTCAAAAAGGTAATATCTTCCACCTATACTTGATTATAGTATTGGATTAATGATTATAGACTCTAGTTCATGAGATATGAGTTGATGGGTTGATAGAAAAGCATTAACGGTTATAGGTTTGGGTTGTTGATTGTTGATTATTGGTTAAGGGTGTTGTTTATCTTATGGGTAATGAAAAATGGTATTGATTATAACATTTTGAGATTTTAGTATTATCTACTAGCAAAAGAATGGGTTGTTGGGTGTAGAAACACCATTAATAAGGACTATGAAGCTTTATGCCTACCAAGTGTTTGATAAAAGGCCTAAGTGGCCAAAACATGAGTATTATTGGTAATATGGAATCCCTTTGACTTGTATTGATATAGATTAAAGTTGAAAGGGTTGACGAACGTTGTATTACGCTTAAGAGAAGGAAGTTACGGTACGTGAGGCTAACTTTCTATGTTTGAGAATGTTAATGATTCTCCCTACACTACGTTTCTTTTACAACGTTGCTAATTGCCTCAGAAATATAGTTAAGCCTAGTTCCTTGAATAGTTGCAGAACTTCTATTCTCTAGCTCCGTAACTTGTTCATGACTTTCATTTTGAACGTTGTGAGATCAGTGTGTAATTAATATAGACTTGGGTTTGATGCCCATGAGTCTCAATCTAGATTACTCAGCATGTCATAAACAATTTAAGTTTCAGTTTTCATAATCAGTTCAAGAATATATGTCTTAATCTAGTCCTATTCAGCATTCCAGTATCATGTAACTCAATATGATTCAGTATTTCAGCATCACATTCTGCAGTATGTTTTTCAGTTCCAGAATTTAAATCCCTGAATGTTGAACACTTGTAATTGGGCCTGAGGGCTAGTTTATATGCTTTATGCGTATTTGGGCCTGGGGCCGTAGTTTATGCTTTATGCATTTTTGGGCATGAGGTCGTAGTTATGTATACGTATACTTGGGCCTGAGGTTGTAGTTTGTCCACATATATATTGGGCCCGAGGCCGTAGTTTATTAAGATAAATAGGTTGTTCATCATTCAGAAGAGGGAGTATTCATATCCTTACTTCCTTTGTTTAGTTATCAGTTATTAGTTATTATTTCAGTTATCAGTTATCAGTTATTAATGCAGTTTCAGTTTCAGCAGTTATCATTTCAGTTATCCGTTATCAGTTCTCTATTATCAGCTCAGTTTCAGTTTCAGCATTTATAGTTCTTTCTTTCAGTTGCTTTACATATCAGTGCAATTCAAATGTACTGACGTCTCTTTTTCCCGGGCTTGCATCTCACGATACAGGAAATGATTTATAGGTTGAGGATTTAGAGCGCTAGGATTCTCGTACCAGCTATTTGGTGATCCCCAGTTATTTTGGGGCATTATCATTACCTTACAGTCTTCAATATTTTCAGACAGTCACTGTTTTCAGTACTTCATTAGAGGCTTCATAGACTAGAGTAACAGTTAGACAAAGTCGCATATTTTTTATGTTAAGCTAATGTTGGCTACAAATATGTTTCAGAATTGTATTAGTATTTCCACACTTTGACTTATATCATTTAGACTTTCAGTATATTAACATGTGTAAGTTTATCTTCTGCATTCAATATGTTATGATATCACATGTTGATTCAGCCAGCCAGTTGGTTCGTTCGGTCACATGTAGTCAGGCACCAGGTGCCGTGTTATGTCCAGGCCTAGGTTCAGGGCATGACAAGAGAAAAGTATGGTATTGAAAACAAAACAAAGTTTACAACCATTGACTGTATGTTCAAGACTAGAATTGAATAAATTTATGAGAGGTACATTAATGCTCCTGCTGATAAGAAGCTTGTTATTGTCAAACTCCATGACATCGTAGCATAATACATATTGGGGTACCGATTACTTGCAAATATTGTATAGGACAAAGTTGATTTTGTGATTATGCCCATAAATATTATGGAAAAATTTCATTGGTTGTTGGTTGTGTTTGACATCACTGATAGGGTTCTATATGTTTATGCTTCTATGGTCTCTTCACGAAATCACAAACTTGTTGAATCTGTTGTCGACAAGTTTGTTATTATGATCCCCCTCTACTTGTCATGCACCAGCTTCTATGGCAAGCGTCCAGACATCAACTACAAGAACACAAAGGCATACATTGAAAAAGGTGTTACTGGCCCTCTTGACATTCAGCGGTTAGTCGGTGAGATACCCCAGCAAAAAGAAGGATCATTGTATGTGCTGCTTTCCTTCTATGTATTTAACCAATTGTATTTTACATTGAATGCTAAATCTTTTCCCCTATTATTTTTTGCAGTAACTGTGGTGTATACGTGGCGGCACTTGCAGAATATGTCAGCATTGGAGAGATATCGATTTCAAAGGAAGACCTTTCTGATATTGATCAACACCATCGACTCTATGGAGCGCTCCTTTGGGATTATGGTAGGAAAAAGCAAAATCTTGGTGCAATTAGTGAAAGTGAGGTGACTGGCAGCATTGGAGAGCTATGATTTCAAAGGAAGACCTTTCTAATATTGATCAACACCATCGACGCTATGGAGCGCTCCTTTGGGATTATGGTAGGAAAAGGCAAGATCTTCGTTCAGTTAGTGAAAGTGAGGTGACTGGCAGATTAGCAAGAAGAAAAGGTGCACCAGCATTGAACGAGAGAACACAAGTCCGGAAAAAGAAGAATTAGTTGCACTTTTCAGTAGAAAAATTGTAGTTAAAGTATTTAGATGTAGCTTGATTGTAGTAAAGTTGTAGACAAATTATTTATTAAGGAGTCAGCTGCAATTTATTTATAGCAGATTTGTGCTACCGTTGTTTTACCTTTTGTTTTGTTATTTTGTCTAGAATTCTACTACATAGAATAGAAAATATTTGTGGCTTTTTTTTAATTGAAAGTTGTTAGTACTTGATTTCGATATTGGTACTATATAATTTCTTTACATCATAACTACAATTATGTCTACAACTACTATACAGAAATACATAATCTATTCAATTTAGCAGTGTTGTTAGGAAAGGCTGAAAGTAATAAATAAACCCAGTATTTGAACAAAACAACTACAAACCAATTACATTGAGAGTTGAAATCTATTTAGCAAACATTCATTATAGGAGACAATCTTTATTCAAATTAGCAACACAATTACACCACAACTATAATTCTACAGAATAGAACAAATACAACTTCATATGTCTTAAAGGACAGATTATCATCAACAATACTCAATCAAAAAACACTTTAAACTATATCAATTTTTATTTCCTTTTGGGAGCATTCCTACAAGATCTTTTGTTATGCCTTACTAGTTCGCAGTTACCACATGAAATCTTGTACTTCTTTGCATTTACTTTATCATATGGTTTGTATCTTTGTTTTTGAGGTCTCCCTGGCTGCCTTTTCTCGGTAGGTGGCTTTACAACTTCTTCAGCTATATGTTGTGGCATATTCCATTTGCTTTCGTCAGGCAGCAGGTCTATTGGTATTTCATAAGTCTGCAGAAGGCTCTCTCTCGTGTAATAAGGAGAACAATAGTTTTCATAAGACTCGTTCCTGTGCCTCAAAGTCGCCAAAGCATGTACACAAGGAAGTTCATCAAGCTGGAATTGTCCACAACTACATCTCTTGTTTTGAAGGAAAACAATGAAGCACTTCACACCATCTATCATAGCATGGATGTAATCTGTTAAAGCCCTCACCTACAATTTCATTACAAACACACAACAAGTTGTCAACAACAAATACAAAACAAAATAACTACAATTATACAACAATATTTCTACAATTAACAGTATTTATTTAGTTTGATGGAATCAATGATCTGATGTTATTAGTTATAGCTTACTCTCATCTTCTGCGATAATGTCTTGTAGTCCTCCTACTCTTTGTTGTATTGTTTTCCAAGGTATGTGAACGTAAACTTTGCATTCAATAACTTTTCATTAGTCCAACGTTCAAGAAGAGTCCTCATGTACTCTAATAGTTCTACTACGAGCAACTCTTTTGCATCTTTGGTAACCGCATTCAATGACTTTGTAATATTTTATGTCATCGTCCACGTTCTGTTCACCGTAGCATGTACCCGAGACCATCTATGATAGCCAATATCATATAGGTATGCTTTAACATATGTGTCGATCTCTTCAATCTTTGACATTCTTTCATTAAATTCATCAAGCGTGTATGACCGTGTCGTGGAAAAGTATAATTCGCTTAACTTTTGATGACCCTTTTTGAACTTTGACCTTACATTTGTCCAAATATGCCACATGCAAGCATAATGTGGCATGCCGGTATAAATGATAGATGTTGCCTTCAAGATACTCTCATTTCGGTCTGAAACAACACACATATTTGGTTTTTCACCATATACATGTTTGAATTGCTCAAACGATCACCTCCAAGATGCATCATTTTCTGAATCAATAATGGCGTATGCTGATAAGTGGGGATTTTGACTACTTATTAGCGCCTTTTAACTTTCATTTTAGTCCAAAAGTGTTTAATTGTCTTCCCGAAAACTGATAAAATATGCTTAATTGCAGGAATATTGGAAGATGAACTCCTGAGATGAAATCCAACTCAAGAAGGAGTAATCTGAACTCAAGCTCAAAGAAGGCACAAAAGCTAAATTGTGCGAACCGCAGAATATCATCTGCGGCCGCAGGTTATGAAGGAATTTCCTTCAGAGACTAGTGCAAAGTGCAGTCCGCACATGAATTGTGCGGCCACAAAAGCTGAGCCAGAAGTAAAGTTCAGAGAAGATGCATTCCAAGCCTCCCAGAAGTGCGGACCACATAACAATTGTGCGGCCGCAGAAGAAGAACTATGCGGCCGCAGATACAATTGTGCGGATCGCAGAAGAGCAAGGTGCAGCCGTAGTTACAATTCTGTGGACCGCAGAAAGAGTGCATTACGGCCGCTGTTCAGAATTATGCGGCCGCAGACATCCAATCCTGTCAAGCTGAAGAAAATTGCTGACCGCCCATGGAATTGTGCGGTCGCAAAACCTCCGAAAGGGCATTTTTGTTCGAAATTTCCAGCCCTATAAAAATAGACAAGTTTCACATTTTTAGGTCAACTTTTGACATCAGCTGTTACAGTAGCCATTTGCTTTTACTCTTTTTAGTAGTTTTTCATATTTTGAGCTATTTGAACATAGATTTTATCATTTTAATTAGCAATATGAGTTTAATTATTATTTCTTCTTCTTTTTCTTCCATTTCAAATATGAGTAGCTAGATTTTTACTAGGGTTGTGACCCAACCCTAGTGTGTAAACTTAATGGGTGTTTAATTTAATGCTTGTTTATGGTTGAGTATTTATTATTTAGCCTTGTTCTTGCTTTTATTTGTGGAATTAATGGTAGCAAACATTAGTTCATGCCTTTTTGACTTGGTCTCTACTGGAGAAAGAGAGACTTAGTCTAGGAAAACCTGGCTAACAAGAAATTGAGTTAATCGAGATATTGACAATCCCAATTAAAGGGTTGAACCTAGAGATAGTAACAACCCGACTTGAGCTTTTTATCAACTGTTGTGTTCAAATACCCATTTGGACTTGAGAAAGACAAATTAGGCAAAATCACTCTCTAACCGAGAGGTATTGAGTGGGTAATTGAGTGTTGATAGCTATAATACACCCCGACCAATAAAACAAGCTTTAAAGTTTATATCCCATTAGGCAAACGCATAGGTTAAGGTCATAGCCCTAAGCTTTTTACAACATTTGAAAATTAACAAAAAACAATTTCCTAGTGTTATTTCTTAAATTGCAATCGTAGTTTAATTTAGACTTTAAAACAACCCAATTTTGTGGAAGTTCAAATTTAGAAATACAAACTCACGCGCTACGATATATACTATTAACTCCCATACATATAGCTCCCTGCGAAATTTGACCCCGACTTTTATTGGGTATTATTATTGCATCGACCGTTTTCATAACCTCGAATTGAGGTGTGAACTTGGACGAGGTCAATTTTGGCGCCGTTGCCGGAGAGCTAAAAAATGGTGTTAGCTATATATTTAGGTGTGTTTTCGGGATATCTTATTCCCCTTCCTTGTTACTAACGTGTTGAGAAATTGTAGGTACAATCATGGCAATCAATGAGCTCGGAAACTTACCTTTGGGGGATGTGGACATTGAGGATGATCAAATGGATGAGGTCCCTCTTGAACCTCAATCCAATAGACTAGGCCGACCGCCCCCACCTATATGGGAAAGGTATAGAACCATGGTGAAAGAATGCCCCAACAATGATATGACGGAGAACATGATTCAACAAACTTTCTATCGAGGGATCAATACAACCAACCAATGTGTAGTGAATCAACTTGCCAGTGGGAACTTCATGACTACGCCTTATGCGGAGGCGTGTGATATCTTGGATGAGATGGCAGATACTTTTTCGGCGTGGCAATCTCGGGCTAATGTTCCATAAGGTGACCCCAATGTGATTCACCTTCACAAAGAGTTGCATGATCATGGACAAGCCATAGCTGAGTTGACTACCACCATGAACCAATTGGCAAAGGATCAACTTCAATAAGTGTAAAACCCGAGGGCAAGTCAATGCAATAGAGGGAGTAAATATGATGGTGAACAAGCGAAGAACAAGAAGTCCACAAGTGCAACAAAGAGTGGACAATTTTGTGCAAGATGATAGTGTATTTGATCAAGATGAATCTTATAATGACCAAGAAGAGGAGGTCCAATATGTGAACAACTTTCAAGGTCAAAGAAACAACTACCAAGGCCCTATCCAACAACAATGGAGACCTTAAAATAATCAAGGCAATTGCTATTCTCATAACCAATGTAATTGGAGTGGTGGAAATAATCAAAGTAATTGCAATCACAACAACAGTCAAGGCAATTGGAGTGGAAGCAATAATCAAGGAAATTGGCATAACAATAAATAACCAAGGCAATAGGGGAGGCAACAATCAAGGTGGGTGGAATAACAATCAAGGAAATTGGGGGTCGGTTTTCACAGGCCCCCGATGTATCAACAACCGATCAACCCACCTCTTTATCCTTCCCATGGTCCTAGTTCTTCCAACAATGAAATAAGCCATATTGAGAACATGTTCAAGCAAATGATGGAGAAGAATGCTGATTCTGATGCCCAACTTGCTTCACACAACACATCGATCCGCAATCTAGAGGTGCAAATGGGTCAAATCTCTCAAGCTTTAAATTCTCATCCTAAGGGGAAACTACCAAGTGACACGGTGGTACACGGTGGTGAACCCGAAGGGTGGGAACAATACGGGACATGCCATGGCCGTTACTACAAGAAATGGTAGAGGTGGGAATGCACCCACCTCAAGTCAAAGGCAACTTGTGGATGATGAGCAAGTGGTAGAAGAAGAGGAGATCCCAACCAATGTAGTGCAAGCAAATGATGAAGTGCGGATTGATATTGATGACATGGTGGAAGAGACTCAAGAGGAAGTGAACCCGTCTAGGGAGTATGTGACTGACATACCGGAACCGATAGTGCAAAAGGCTAAGGCACCATTTCCTAAGCCACCTCCTCCATATCCTCAAAGGATCGCCAAGCAAAATGGCGAGAATCAATTCAAAAAGTTCATTGATATGATGAAGAGTCTCTCGATAAATGTGCCATTAGTTGAAGCCTTGGAGCAAATGCCCGGATATGCAAAGTTTATGATGGACTTGGTGACAAAGAAGCGGTCGATGAATTTTGAAACTATCAAAGTCACTCACCAAGTGAGTGCAATTGTGCATTCGATGACTCCTAAGTTAGAATATCCCGGTGCTTTCACAATCCTTTGCACCATTGAAAGCGCCGAGTTTTCCAAAGCTCTTTGTGATCTTGGGGCGAGTATCAATTTGATTCCCTATTCGATTTTCAAGACCTTGGGAATTAGGCAACCAAGACCCACATCTATGAGATTACAAATTGTCGATCGTACAATGAAGAGACCTTTGGGGGTGATTGAAGATGTATTGGTTGGTGTCGATAAGTTCATTCTCCTGGAGAATTTTTTTATTCTTGATAGTGAAGTGGACTATGAGGTACCGATTATTCTTGGAAGACCTTTCCTTGCTATGGGGAAGGCTCTTGTTGATGTGGAAGCCGGAGAACTCACTTTTCGGGTGGGTGATGAAAAGGTGGTGTTCCACATGTGCAAATCTATGAGGCAACCGAATAGCAATGAAGTGTGTTAATTTGTGGACTTGGTGACAGATGTGATTATTGATGATACAAGTTCCACGATTAATGTAGGTGATATGTTGGAGGCCGTCTTGCTCAATTTTGATGATGAATAGATGGATGGCTTCATGGAATGTGTTAATTCATTGCAAGGAATGGGGTCGTACAACTATGCACCCCGGAAACTTTCCTTGGATCTTGAGAATAGAAAAACTCCTCCTACAAAGCCTTCAATCGAAGAGCCTCTTATCTTGGAGTTGAAGCCATTGACTCCACATCTCAGGTATGAGTTCCTTCGCCCTTGTTCTACTTTACCGGTTATTCTTTCCTCTTGTTTGACTAACATACAGGTTGACTCTACATTGGCGGTGCTCCACAAGAGGAAGAAAGCTATTGGGTGGATTTTGGCGGATATTCAGGGAATAAGCCCCGGCATGCACAAGCTTGACTTGGAGGAAGATGCCAAATCCTCTATTGAACATCAAAAGAAACTCAATGAAGCCATGGAAGATGTGGTCAAAAAGGAGATTATCAAATGGTTAGGTGTCGGGGTAGTCTACCCTATTTTTGACAGTTTGTGAACTTCTCCGGTGCAATGTGTCTCTAAGAAGGGGGCATAACTGTGGTCACCAATGATAAGAACGAGTTGATTCCCACAAGAATGGTGACCGGCTGGAGAGTGTGTATGGACTATCGGAAGCTGAACAAAGTCACAAGAAAAGACCATTTTCCACTTCCCTTATTTGACTAAATGCTTGATAGGTTGGCGGGCCGTGCTTTCTATTGCTTTCTAAATGGATATTTGGGCTACAACCAAATCCTTATTGCCCTGGAAGATAAAGATAAAACTACTTTCACGTGTCCCTATGGCACTTTCGCTTTCAAGTGGATGCCATTTGGCTTATGCAATGCACCAGCAATTTTTCAGTGTATGATGGCGATCTTTACGGATATGGTAGAGGACTACCTTG